TTATTATTTTTTACTTGATATCAATTTTAATTTTTTACATGTAGCCCTGCTTGCCCGAAGCAGGGCTAAATGTAGAAAAAAAAAACTACCCACCCAGTGGCTGTGCTGCCCCTCTACTCCCTGCTGCCCCAAAGCCAGGCCTCGGTGGCCTTGTGGTAGATCCGGCCCTGCCTCTAGACAAACATGTGCAGTGTGGCAGACGCCATGTTACCCTCAGGACTGGATGGACAGAAATGCAAACCCTTTGCCAGGTATATCGGATCTCTTGCTTGTATTTGGTCTGTGTATTCAGATGTTTCCCTGGATTTGAGCTTTAAAGTGACATTAAACCCTCAGATTTTTTAACATAAAACAATACTGTAATCCATGGTTGTTTCCCTTCTCTTTGCTGCTCTTCCTTTTAAATCCTCATGTCTTCTCTTGCTTGGGGAGAACTTCCCTTTGCAGCTGAGTGCCTCTTCCTGTAGTGCTGGCTCAGGTTGCAAACCTACACACAGACACCGTGTATCCATTCCAGAGACAAGGCAGTCTGCTGCAAAACAGAAGTTCTCCCCCAGCATGAGAACAGATACAGATTTAAAAGGAAGAGCAGCAAAGAGAGCAGGGAAACAACCATGGATTACAGTAAGGTGCACATTACAGTATTGTTTTATGTTGAAAAATCTGAGGGTTTAATGTCACTTTAATCTCCAAAGTGCAGGTTAAAAACGAAATCTAAAGACTGATCAGATGCTCAAAACAAAATCGCCCTGGCAGTGCTGTGTTTAATAACAAGCAGAGACGCACAATAACCAACAGCATGCAATTAGAGGTCAGCCATCATTAATGTGAATACTCTAAACCACAATAAGCTAGTCTACCTCCGTTTGCTGCCGATGCCGGGGGGGGTGATACCTACAGATTATCAGTGTCTTTTGTTCTGTTATTTACAAATCCGCATCAAAAAAGGGAGAAATCAACAAATAGCCATCTTGTTGCAGTGGGCAATGTGTCTGAAGAGCCCGGCAACCTCAACACAATGTGCAACCTAATGTGCAAACCCAAACGGCGCAGGTTACGTGGCGTTCAGATTCATCAACTCATTGTTGTTATAGGAAGCCGCCATACAACAGCTAATCCTGTTAAGTAGCACATTCTGTACAGACCGGCACCATTTTCTTGAGTAGACATGTTCCGACTACACTAAATGAAATTAGTGTACGCACTGTATGGGGACGTAATGGATGGTGACTGCTCTCCGCTCACAAAATCAATACAGCCTTCTCGTCGCTGCAAAAACCCAACTGAAAGGTTCTGTCCACCCAAAAATTAAATCTCAATTTCGGGTTGGATGCTGGGGAGCTGAAATACTTTATGCGTTGGTTGGGGACTCACTGCACATTGGGCACAGAGAGGATGAAGTTTAATGTTGGGGACCCTACGAAGCAAGATCAAGACTCTGCCCACTCACCATTGTCACTACAATGTTCAGTATTTTACATTAAGGAAAAGACTAAAGGGGTGGGGCTCCATTCATTGGTCTTACATTGGCTTTGGAGTGAGAGAGGAGAGGTAAAAAAGTTGGGTACCCTGGGGGGCAAGACCAATGCACCTGAGTCACGACACTGCCCACTCACCGTGGTCACTACAACCAAATCTTGCCCTGGATTCTAAATGTTCTCTGCTTTACATCATGGAGAAGAATCAAATAGGTGGCACTCAACTGACTGGTCTTACCTTGGCTTTGGAGTGAGAGAGGAAAGGTCTAAAGTTGGGTACTCTAGGGGGCAAGACCACTGCACTGGAGTCACAACTCCTCCCACTCGCCATGGTCACTACAAGGGAATCTCACACTGGATTCTGAATGTTCTCTATATTACATTTTGGAAAAGAATTAAAGAGATTGGACTCAATTGATTGGTCTTACATTGGCTGAGGAGAGGTCTAAAGTTGGGAACCCTTGGGGGCAAGACCACTGCACCAGAATCATAACTCCTCCCACTCGCCATGGTCACTACAAGGGAATCTCACCCTGGATTCTGAATGTTCTCTATTTTACAATTAAAGGACCTGAGTCACCACTCTGCCCACTCACCATGGTCACTACAAGGGAATCTCACCCAGGATTCGTAATGTTCTCGGCTTGTTTTATATAATGGAACCTAATCGGAGAAGTGAGATTTTTATTTGGTCTTACTTTGGCTTTGGGGACACAGAGGGTGGGACTTCATGTTGGGGACTCTGGAGGCAAGACCACTTCACTCGATTCACGACTCCTCCCACTTGCCATGGTCACGACAAGGGAATCTCACCCTGGATTCTAAGTGTTCTCTGCCTATTTTACCCAATGGAAAATAATTGGAGAAGTGAGACTCCCGTGCTTGGTCTTACTCTGGTTTTTGAGACAGAAAGGAGGCAGCTTAATGTTGAGGACTCTGGGGGGCAAAAGTCATGATTCCGCCCACTCCCCATGGTCAATACAAGGGAATCTCACCCTGGATTCTGAATGCTCTCTGTTTATTTTGCATTCTGGGAAATAATTGGGGGAGAGAGACTCCCTTGCTTGGTCTTACTTTGGCTTTGGAGACAGAGAGGTGGGGGCTTAATGTTGGGGTTTCTGGGGGGGAGGGGCACTGCACCTGACTCACAGCTCACTCGCTATGGTCACTACAAGTGAATCTTGCCTTGGAATCCGAATGTTCTCTGCTTATTTTACTTAATGGAACAAACTGAAGTAGTGAGACTCCTTTGCTTAGTCTTGCTTTGGCTTCGGAGATGGGAAGGGGTGGGTGGTCTCACTATCTCATTGCCAAAGCCACTGAAACGTATCACAAGCCAGCAGGTCATTCCACCAATTAAACCTTTAGAAATAAAATAAAAAGCCCAGATAAATAATGTAAACCATTTGTGACTCTCGCCTTCCTTCTAGACTCGGAAGCTGCTCAGAGATCCCAACCATCAATTTAATTAACTAAGCATTAAGAGGTCACTTTAATCTTTCTTAAAGGAAAACTGACCTACTAACCACAAGAAAATCCACAAGTTAATTCCTTGGTGTTAAACCGCCGCACTCCTTTAATCCGCCTCTCATTTGTAAAGCATGAAACCGTCACGGCTTACAGGGGAGGAAAACACGGAGACTTGGAGAGAAATTTGGAAGAATATTGATGACTGATGTCAGAAGAAT